TGGTTTCCTGGGGTGGAGGCTGCTCAGCTCTGCGGCCTCATCTTTGAGAACATCATCCTGTGGCGTGGGAATGAACAATCGAAGGCGCTCCTCCATGATGCCACTCAACTTCACTGAGGAAGCTGCTGCTGTTTAAGGGTGCAGCCATGTGGGCTGCCTGAGGAAGGATCAGGAGAAGCAGTGTTTGCCACCAGCCCAGGAGAGGACGCCTGGGGCCTGCCCCCGAGTGCCCCTGTGGAGAGCAGCAGGCCTGGCCAGATCCAGCTGCAGGCGCCCACTTGGCCCCCGCCCCACCCCGCAGACAGGAGCCCTTCATCCCCACTCTGAGAGCACTTTGTCCAGTGCTGCCAAAGCCCCGCCGAAAATATCTGCCAGGCCCGGCAGCCTGTGTTGGGAGAAGCCGGCAGCAGGGGCCGCCTCCTGGAAGAAGCATCTCACTCTTCCCAGGAAACAGCGATTTCCTGCCGGGCTACACACAGATCACCCTCCAGGGAGCCTGGCTGGGCCCGGCCCTGTGCACGGACGCCACCATGCTGGGCCTGTTCCCAGGCTTCCAAACAGCCAGAAGCTGGCACTGGTTTGGTTTTTCTGGTGCTGGGATGGCTCCTTGCTAAGTGCGGAAGGGGCCTGCCTCCCTGGCGTTGGAGTGTGGGGCTCCTCAGCCACCAAGCAGCTCCTGCCACTGTCACCATGCAACTCCTTTCTGGTTGTACCAGGCCCGGCATCAGTCTCCCGGGCAGCCCCAGCTTTGCGCCAAGGCCCTGATTTCTAGGACACCGGGTCTCAGGCCTGAGCCCCACCAGAAAGTGCTGGGTGCCTTGTTAAAACGGGCACACCGCCACTCTTGGGTTCCGGCCCAGGAGGTCTGGGTGTGGCACCGGACATCTGCGTTTCTACCAAGGTCCCGGGTGCTGCCACTGGTCTGGGGAGCCCACTTTGGGAACCTCTGCTCTAGCTTCTCACAGCCCATCTTCTTCCCTCACAGTGATCGGGGGTCCCCAAACCCCAGTCCTTCACGTCCCCCTTCCCATGTTTTGCCCACTTTCCTGCATCTACCTGTATTCACACGTATTTTGCATTTTTATTTAAGATGACTTTGCTTTTTTGGGCTCCAAGAAATTTGCTTTTTTGTTTGCTTGATTTGGTTTTTGAGACAGAGTCTCGATATATAGCTCATGCTGGTGTCAAACTCACTATGTAGCCAGGCTGGCCTTGAAGCTATGGCGATCTGCCTCCCTCAGCCTCCCCAGTACTGGGATCACAGGCGTATGCTACCCCACCTGGCTTCCAAGAAGCTTACTCTAAAAAGGTCACTTTCTTGCCCTGCTACTGCAGAAATCTGGTCCCCTCTGCAGAGAAGGAAAGTGGGGGTAAAACCAGATGCAAGAGGCCCAGGCTCGGGACACCGCCCACCTCCCAGCTGGATGCCAGGCAACCCTGGGCTTTGTCTGCAGGGTGAGCAGGTGTGGGGGCCTTAGGCACAGCGGGTCCCGCCTGGGGCTCTCCTTTCCCAAAGGCGGAGGGGCTGTGGGTTCCCTGATGGCCAGTGCACATGCTCAGGCACATCTCAGGCACATCTCAGGCACACGCTCGTCCCAGAGCACGCTGTGCTTGAGGGCAGGGCTCTGTGCTACTCTGCCACCGAGCGGAGCCGCAGCTCACCACACCCGCAGGGGACCTGCCACGGCCCTGCCCACTTCCAGGCCCTTCACACTTGGGCAGCCCTGGCCAGCCCCAGCCCCTCCCACCCACACCCCCTTCCTGCTCCCGGGGCTGCCTCCTGTCCCGGGCGTCCCCAGGCTCCCATCTGGTGGGTCTCGCACCCAGTGCCAGCCAGGTGCCAGCTCCCAGCCCCAGAGAGCCAAGTGGGGTTTTCCCTAGCCACAGGCTTCGGGGCAGGGCCAGTTCCAGGATCCTGGGGCTGCAGGCACGAAGCAGGGTGACTCTCCTTCCCTCTGGAATCCCACTCTTCTGCTCTCAAAATGGGACACTGTCCAGAAATTGGAGTTGAAAATGTGGGATTTCAAAATTTACAATGTTTTCTGGGTTTTTTGGTTTTTTTCAAAAAATAGTTCCGAAGTTGCAAAATCCTTCGTCAGGCCTTTTCCTCTCTGATTCTGTGGTTTTGGTCTAAGCTGACACAGGGCTTGAGACAATCAGAGATAAATCGCTCTTGGCTGGACCACAATGTCCTCAGCCTTGGGGGGCTGTTGGCTGGAAGCCCCACCAATCTGAGCCAAGCCGGGTGTGGAGCAGGGCTCCCCCAGGCCAGGTCCACATGGGGTTCCCTGCCAGCTGCTGCTGTGGCTGAAGGGGGGGCAGATGCGGGGTTCCCTGCCCCACGGCGAGGGGCCTCAACGCTTCCTGGAATGGGATCTGCTGACCTGAGCTTCCTCGAGCCAACAAAAGAGAACACAGGTCAGAGTCACCTCCGACCCAGCAATGCCACTCCTAGGGCCATGACCAAGAGAAGTGAAAGCAGATGTCCACAGTCTTGCTCACAGATGTTCAGAGTGGGATGAGCCAAGGGTGAGACAGCCACGCCTCCACGCATGAAAGTATGGGCAACTGGTGGAAAACCAGTCAGCCATAGAAAAGAACCGAGGTTCTCTTACATCCTACAAAGTGGATGAGACTTGGAAACTCAATACTGAGTGAAAACATCCAGACACAAAGACACACTGTGTGACTCCAACCCGTGCAATGCCCACAATGAGCAAATCCAGAGAGACAGGTGACTGCCGGGGTGGGGCTGGGGTCCAGACTGGCTGGTCATGGGTACAGGACTCCCTTGTGGTATAATGCCAATGCTCTGGAACTGGGTAGTAGGGATGGCCATGCACCACTGTAGAATACTTCATGCCACTGAAATGCGCACTTCCAAATAGTTAAAATGGTAAATTTTAGGTTCGCATGAATTTACCACAATAGGTGTCTCCCGAGGAAAAGTAAAAGCGAACACAGCTCAGCTTGCAGCCCAGCCTTGCCTGCCCGGAACACAGTGTGCTCCAGTTGGGATTTTCTGAGGCGCTGCTCCGGGTCTCCAGCCCACGGAAGTCTGGGCACCTACTGAACTCAAAGCCACAGTGACGTGGAATCACGCCCGCCGTGCTTTCCCCTCCTGACAGCCACCAGCCCCCGAGTGACGCTGGGTGTGCACATCTGGGACTCATCAAAACCCAGAGAGGTTGAAAAAAACCTCCTGGGCCAGCAGCAGACAGGGAGGCACCTCCCAGAGGGAGTGAACTGGCTAGTGACAGGGAGAGGACAGCCCTGCTCCCACAAGGCCAAGGAGGTCTGGGCTGGGGTCCGCTCAAGTGTCCCCTCCCCCGGGTCTCTGAGGGAGGGCTCTGCGCCTTAAGGAGCTGGTGCTGTGCTCTGGCCCTCAGCTCTCCCCAGCCTGAGGCTGCACTCCGGGGCAGTGCTGACCCACATCCCTCCCCAGCTGAGCCCAAGCTCCCGCCAGCACACTCCTCCAGGGCCCGGAATCCCCAGCGTCACTGGCCAAGCACTGTCCTTGGAAGCCAGGCAGGTGCTGCCAGGGTGGAGCCCTCCCCACCCCGCCTGGCACACTGGGCACAGCCTGGGCTGCCTGAGCCTCGGGGTGCCCCTCGGAACTGGCCGCCTCCAGGGCAGCCCATGACTTCCTTCTCGAGCTCAAGCTCGCAGAGCAGCGGGGAGTCCTGCTGGCCAGTCAGCTGGGCATTACCGGGAACACCCGCAGGACTCCCACTCTGATGTCACAGGCACCCTTCGAAGTCACAGTCTCCTGCTTCAGCCTCCTCCCTGCCAGCAGCATCCAGCTGTGTCCCCTGAGCCCCTGTCCAATGGAACAACTCCTGTGTGAAGGCCAGTGTCAGAGGTGGGGCTGGCAGCGGGTAGAGATTGGTCCTAAAACAAGCAGGACTCACAGGCCAATACCCACCTGGGTGACTTTGACGCCACACACCAGCTGGGGAACCTGGGGCAAGCACTGCACTTTGCCGGGCCTCGGTTTCCCCAGCTGTCCAGGTGTGCTGCGGGTGAACTGCATGCTCGGGGCTCACACTTGCCGGCACCTCCTGCTGCTCCCTCTTCGTGCAGTCAGCCAGGTGTGGGCACAGCAGGACAACAGTGCCTACAGCAGAGAGCCCCGAACAGCAGACGCCAGACCCTGGAGGCTCAGAGTGGAATCCACACCCACTCTCAGTTGCAGGGTGAGCTGGGCATTTACACAGCCGCCCATAGCTTCTCTCCAGACCAGCAACTCAACTTCAGGCTGACAATGCCCAGGCAATGGCTAAGCCCCTCCTGGTGTGCCCACCGGTCAGCCAAGCTCGGGAGGCTCTGGGTCTGCTGGCCTGACTCTCCTCTCTCCATCTGGGGCATGAACCCCCCAGGACCCAGAGCAAGCCCTTGGCTCCAGCCCGTCTACCCACACGGACAGCTATGGGAGGCCCACTCTGGCTAAGGAGCCCCCGAGGGGTGCTCCCGGCCCTGCAGGAACTGTCTGCCCCACAGCTGGCCCCGTGACCCTGAAGCTGCAGCAGCTCCGGAGCTGGGCTTCAGACTGGTTCTGCCCTCTACTCTCTATCTGGAATACGACGGGTAAAGGGGCGTGGCCCTGTGAGCTGCAGGAGGCACCTGCCTGTGCCCACCCTGCCTGCCCCCACACGGGGGTGGAGCTCTCTACGCCCAACACGTGTTCCACCAGCTTCCAGGAACATCAGCCGCTGTCAGGGACCACAGGACCGTCACAGCCCCCAGAGAGCTGACAAGGAGGGGAAAGCTGCAGCCACCGAGGGGCTCCCTGTGCCCAGGGACTGCGATGCCAAGGCTCCAGCGCCTGTTTCCTCAGCGTAAAGGGCAAGCCTCAAAGCAAGGTTCTGCCCGCTGGGAGAGCCCTCGCCACAGTCCAGCTACGCTCCAAGCAGGGGCATTCCCTCTGGTCACTCCAGCTCCCGGACATTAGGGGCACAGGGTTGCAGCTTGCAGTGGAGAGGAAGCCACGCCGCACTTACCTTCTAGGGCTCCGATCACACCTCGCGGCGTCTTCCGCGTGGAGTGGCGGCTGCGCGGTCTCGGCCGGCTCGGTGGGTGATGGCGCGACGCGAAGCTCGGGGCACGAGGATCAGGACGCGCAGACAGCTGCGAGTGGTTGCTTGGGCGCCTGCACCGCTTCTTATAGGCCGGCCAGATCCCGAGGCCACACCCACCAGCAGCTGATTGGGCCGCGCAGCTCCGGCCCCGCCCTAGAGCCGTGCCCCGGAGGCCAGGCGGGCGGAGGGAAGCGCCTGCGCAGTGGACGAGGGGCGGGCGGCGATCCCTAGCCCGGCCGGCAGCGAGGGCGCGCTCGGCTTCTCGCCGTGACCATAAAAGTCGTTTTCATCCAGCGCCTCCCAGACCCCGCTGTCTGCGGCTCAAGTGGAGACGGACTCGGAAGGCGACCTCCGGGACCCCAGCAAATACGTGGGCCAGGGCGTGGGCTCCGAGAGCAGCGCGCACCCCGGGGCGCATAGCGCCCGGTCTGCAGCTGGGGAACAGGCAATAGGCAGCGTCGGCCGCTCGGCCCAGGGAGCCTGCAGGTGGCAGGGACTCCGCCCACGTGGGCTCGGAGCGAGGAACCCCTGGGCACCTTGGACCCGTGGGGAGTCCTGGGGTCAGAAATCACCTGTGCACCGCGAGTGGGGGCCTGGAAGCAGCAGGCCGGCGGGGCTAAGGCTCGCCCGGGGCCTCCTGTGTGCAGGGCAGGCTGCTGGCCTCGCACGGCTCCTCCCTGCACGTGGACCCCGGCGCCAGCCGCTCCCTGGCGGCCCTAGAGTGCAGACAGCACCCGGCTGGGGGCCGTGGAGGGGACGCGGACTGAAGCCAGGAACCCCTGTGCAAGACATGCAGATGAAGAACCAAGCAGGCAGCCGGGATGGAGCTCAGAGGCACCGCGCCTGCCTAGCAAGCACAAGGTCCTGAGTTTGATTCCCGGAACCGAAAGAAAAAAACCAAAAATAAACCACACGGGCATCCTCATTGTCTTCCTTTTCCCTCTCCCTTTGAGAAGCAACGGGCCAACGCCCGCTCACGCACACCGCTTAAGCTCCAGCTGTGTGCTGCTCTGCCCCAGAGCAAAGCCTGGGGTTGGCAAAGGACCAACCCACGAGGAGAAGGGATGATGTCCACAGCCACCTCCCAGGTGACACACTCGCCCGGGACCCCAGCCCCGGCCACCAGCGGGCACCAGCGCCAGGCAGCCCGCTTTGCCAAGGAAGGCACCAGACCCACAGGACTGGAGTTGCTCTCCCAAGGCCACAGCGCTCCAAGGAGAAGGAATTGGGATTTGAACTCACACTTTTGCCCATTTGGCTGCCACTTCCAGGGACCAGTAAGCCACAGGGACAGAGGAAGAGTACAGTGGGTCCTCGCTCCACACTCAGCCAGCGGAGGGCGCTGTGAGGGCCGGATTCCTTCCAGGCCCATCATCTGGGTGGGGCTGGCGTTGTTAACAATGGAATGTCCACAGCCCTCCTAATCTGACCTCTGCCTCCTTGAAGATGCTTAAAGATGTTTTTTCCCCTTAGTACTGGGGACTGAACCCCGGGCCATCACACTGAACTACATCCCTTTTTTAAAAAATATTTACTTTTTGAGACAGGGTCTTGCTATGTAGTTCAGGCTGGCCTCAAACTCGTGACTCGGCCTGCCAAGTGCTAGGATTTCAGGCATGTGCCGCCGTGCCAGGCTTATTTTTACTTTTTAATTTTGAGAAAGAGTGTCCCTAAGTTGCCAGGCTGGGCTTGAACTTACCATCTTCCTACCACAGCTTCCAGAGTGCTGGGGCTATAGGTGTGCACTACCACAGCCAGCTTAGAGATGCTTTTTACAACAACCCTGCAGGCCTCTTGCTGGCCCAAGGTGCCTCTGGGATGCCCCTCCCCGTGCAGGCAGAGATACAGCCAGGGGACCCCATGGCCTGTCCTCCCTGCCTGACTGCCGAGTCCCCTCACTTAAGACCCTCACTTTCTCCCTTCCCTCCGTTTCTCCTCTTCTCTCCTTCTGTGGCCTCCCGTCCACCTGCCCACCCCCCCAGGGCTGCTGTTTATGCTCAGGCTTTGGGGCTGCGTCTTCCAGCCCAGTGGGAAGAGGGGGAGACTGTGGCTCGGGCACGTGGAGGGCCTTGGCTTTCTCAGTGGAGTTGACAATGCTTCCTTCCCCTCCTACCACAAGGACAGAGCAAGGGGGTGTTGTCTGTGAACCAGAAAGCAGTCCTTGCTGGACACCCTGCGGTGCCTGACCTTGGACATCCCAGGCTCCACAACTGTGAGAGAGAAAGGCTGCCGTGACTGAGCCACCCACGCTGTGGTATTTTGTTATCATCGCCTGAGAGGACTGAGACAGTGTGTGACCTTAGTCTCTAAGCCACATGGCCTGTGGGCACAGGGAGTCTGGGTTTGCTGAAGTATAAGCCCTCTGGACACTTCTGAGCTGTTTCAAAAGGGAGTTAAATAAGCCTCTCAGATGGGATGTTATGGTTAGTGTTGCTGGGTAACAAATTATCCCAAACTGTAGTGGCTTAGAACACCATTTTGTTTTGCCTTTAACGTTGTAGGTAAGGAAGCTGGGACTTGCTATGTGGAGTGCTCTGCCTTCAGAGCCCAACCAGTGTTGTCTAGGGCTGTGCACACTGGAAGACTCAGTTAGTCTGGGGGTGTGGGCCAGGCACTCAACACTGGATGTGATTGGAGCTCCGTGGGGGCTGCTGCCTGTGGAGCCCCCACATGAGCTCCTGCCCACAGATGAGGCTGCCACACTCCTTGTTCGAGGCTCCAGGCTTTGTGACTAAGCACTGGAGGTCTGCCCTGCTGGCGCTTCAACCACAGAGCCTGCCAAGTTCGAGGAGAGGGACACAGGCCACATCTCCATGCAAGCAGGAACAAAGACTCTGGAGACCTGCTTGAAAATCTCTCCAGTCCTGGGACGGTGGCACAGGCCTGTAATTCCAGCACTCAGGAGGTTGAGGCGGGAGAATCACCAAAAGTTTAAGGCCAGCCTGGCCTGCAGAGTGAATTCAAGGCTTGGGCCGGGGATTTATTTAGCTCAGTGGTTCTGCTGCCTGCCTTGCAAGCACAAGGTCCTGAGTTTGATCTCCAGTATCAAAAAAAACACAAAAAAAACAAAAAACAGAGTGACTTCAAGGCCAGCCTGAGCTGCTAGTGAAACATTGCCTTAAAACCCAAAAAATAAAAGTTTGAGTTCTGATTGCACCCACCCTGCTCTGTGTCTTTGCTCACCCAACCTCTCCGGGCCACAGTTGCTTCCCTGTCGGGATCACCCAAGCAATGACAGCCCTGAGATTGCTGTCAGGCCAAATCCCAGTTTCAAATCCCAGCACCTGCACATCCAGGCTATTGGCTGAGGACAAGTCACGCAGTCTCTGCTCAGTGCCCATCTGTAAAACGAGGGTCTGACCCTCCCTCCCTCCCCTCTCCTCTCTGTCTCCCTTAAGGCCTTACGTGGTTAACATGGAAAATAACAGGAGCAGGGCCTGAGATGCACAGTATTAGTTAATATTATTGCCATAAGCAGCAACAAAGCAAAGGAGAAAGAGAGAAGTTTAGTTTTGATCAACTTTTCTATCACTTTGTAATCTCAGAGCGTAATTTCCAAGAAAATAACATTGGGATTGGAATAAAATGGTACATCACGGGCCACACAGGCTCCTGGAACTCCCAAGGGGAAGGACCACGGCGCATCTCCGAGTCCTCCAGAAAGGGATGGGCCCCTCGTGCCCTGGAGAGGTCCCAGCAGAGGACGCTGTTTGTGACCCAGGGCCTGGCTGGGTCATGGGTCTGAGACAAAGGGGAGCCCTTCGGGCCTGATGAACCTTTGCCTGGAAAAAGAAACACGCAGGCCCAGCCCTCAGCCACCCTCCATCAGGGACCGAGCAGCTGATGGAGGGGTGCAGCCTGCAGAAGGGGCCGGCGGGGCCATGGCTGCAGGTCAAGGCCTCTCCTTCCGGCCTCCATGCTGGGTCTGGAGGGCAGATGACTTCTCTGCACCAACTTCCGATTCAGTTATTTTTGTTGGAGGCTCTTGACCTGACACGGAGCCAAGGTTAGGAAGTCCCAGATTGTCATTTGTCCCTGCCACACCCAGCCCGAGCGACAGAATGACACCAGGTCCCATGCGGCATCAAAGCCTGTGAAGGACTGGCGTTGGGCCGCATCTTATGGTACTGCTTTGGGATGGGCGTGGCTCAGAAAGAGGAACCAAAAGGTTGGAGGGGAAAGAGGCTTTGGCTCCATGCCGGCAGGTGCCAGCCTCATGGCCCTTACGGCTCTCGGTGGGACTGCTGGGGAGGCGGCAGGCTCCACCTTGCACCTCGGCAGGAACTTGTAGTGGCAGCAGGGGCACTGCCAGTGGAGAGATCTGGGGCAATGCGATGGCAAGTGACAGAGGCCTGCTCGGTCGGCTGCACAGAGAGGAGGCCACCAGGAGGAGCCTGGTGGTGCAGAGCCTGAGGCAGCAGGCAGAGTCACCTCGGGGCCGGAGCAGGTCCCCAGGTCTGCTTTCTGACTCTAATCTCCCTTCTGGTCCATTCCCCATGAAGGTGGCCACCACCAGCATGGGGTCCAAGTGCCCTTTGTCCTAGAGACCAGCAAGGGCTGTGTTCACCATCTCCCTGCTCTGGTGTCCTGGAGAAAGAACCCAGCTGGCTCCACCCCTGGAGGAAATGAGGGAGACAGGGCGATGCTGTCATGGTGGCCTGGCACCATAAGCTGGGGACACCTCAAAAGGCCATCACGACAAGGGTGATCCACAGAAGAGTCCCTGTAGGTGTGGACTCATCCAGAGAAAGCCCAGGCCTGGCGGGACAGTGGCTTGGTGAACAACCGACTGTCCATCAAGCACTGAAGTGAACCCTGTCCACACCTGCATGTGTCCCTGCAGGTCCCTGCCACTTCAGGCCGGCCAGCCCCACAGCCGCACCTGCATCCCTATGGGACAGCTGCCCCACTTAGCCAGGCTGCAGGCTGAAGTGCCACCCACAATTCAGCAGCTACAACTGAACCAGCAGTTCGAGCAGCCCTGAGCTGGGCCTTCAGAAGGTGACCAGGTGCAGGACAGAGTCCTCAGGAATGAGATTCAGGTCCTCACACGGGACCTGTGGGAG